GTTGACACAAAAAATTACAAAATATGCAAATATATCTGAAATATTTGTAAACGTGTTACTACGACATTCTACTAGTTTAAAATGTAAGAAAACGAAAAAAAGTCAAAAATAATCTATAGACATCTGATTGAAATTCTAAATGTTATTTTTAAGGCGAATAGAAGGGAAGCGAGTACATTCTCAAAATACATTTTCAAATGTTACGCTCAGAAAAGTATAATGTATGCCAACTAATCTCGACAGTCAATTGCTAGAATGCAAGTCAGGGTGATGAAAGTACGATAATGTCAATCAAATTAGGTCCACTCCAGCACAAGCACATTCGTTTAACTAGAGGCTCACATGAGCCTGAATTTCTCAACTGACAGAAATTACTTTGTCATAGATGAAAAGACTATTTATCAGACGAAACAAGAGTTAATTCAAGAAGAAAAGTAACAACACGTAGTTAGAACATTTCTGCATAATTTGATTTGATTTCAATTGATGTGCTCTAGAAAATCAAATTCTTATATTTTTGCAGTCAAAGTACCATAAGTAACTGAACATGTTAATGATCATCAAAGGAACTTATCTATCATGTTTTGTTCCAATTGAATCATTGGTTGCTGAGAAGTGCGTCATAGTTTAAAATAATCTATATTATGAAAGGCCATCCTGGCCATGTTCGTTGGCGAATCGACAAAAAAATAATACAGTTAAATAGTATTTCGTACGGAACCATTGAGCTTCAGGTCAATTTCCTTTTTTCTAGAAATTTCTCTAGGACATTTTTTAAGAAGTTATCAATAAAATGTTCACATTCATTCAGGACTTGTATAGAAAAAGCTGGGCAAATGTCCTGTGAACGTTGTCTAGTTGAATCACTTGGAACACGTCTAGGCAGTTTGGTGTCATTAAGTGGTCGTCAGGAGAAAGTGACGACACTAGCTTTCACGGACATTCGATCTTATAGTATTTTAAAAGAAGCCTACACATTTCTATTACTTCCTTGGGATGTCCGGAACTGAATACCTGTTTTATCTTTTTATTGCACATGCCATCTTGTTTGTCACAAGTTTAGTGATTCACAGGAACAAAAGTTCATATGTAAGATCATGTCTTGACGTTATATCTGGTTGGTACTGCTATCTCACCTGAAAGAGAACACCGTGAAATTTAATATCCAACTTCATTAAAAGTCAATTTTATTGCAGATGATATAATAAAAAATCATAAATCATTGCAAAATTTAAACCAAATTGAGTTTTTAATGTCTACCCATGTGTCAGGGTCGATACGTATAGGAAATTAATTCATTTCATAAATCTAATACATTTTGAAATAAGTTCTGGTCAAATTACGAACAATTCATATCTGAAATATTTATCTCGCAGATGACAAAAATCCATACTAAAACCAACATAACTTTTAAATATTAATTAGATTTATACAAATTTATTTCAGACGCAAGTTTGGTCTTTATTAAAGAAACAATTAACCTGAATAATTAACAAGGCCGTATTGAAATCTCGCGTTACGTGAATATGTAAACGTTAACACATTTTCTAACACTTTTTCTGCAGTACATTACGAAAACATCACTTATAATGGCGCCATTAACTCATCTAATTTAGATTGAAGTATATCCTTTGTATGCTTGTATTGCTACCGGAAATCGTCTGCTGAACAGTTATAATGAAAAGTATTCTATATATTACTGATTATGTATAAAACAAAGTCGTTACATATGTTTCATTAAATTTAATCATTTTGTTAAGTGCCCCGTGATAATTTATGTGTTACAGTCAATTTAGTAGGAAATTTTAAGGTTGAAAGTGAGTTTTATAAAATAAATAATATCCGTCATCTTCTCTGTATTTACTTAAGAATTTTAGAGAGTTTGAAGTAATCCTCTTCAAATTTCTTCTCTTGAAGAGATGCTTCACGTCTAAATCCTAAACACATTTCTGCAGGGCTGAAGGACGAGTTATACTTGAATGAAATAGGCAATTGAGTTATTTTTTAAACGACTAAGCTCGTACATGGACATTTTGCGAGATGAACGAAAGCTGGCCATTTTGAATTTCCTATTAATTCCAAATTAACAACACATTTTAAAGGCTGTCAATGGACACAATTATGTCAGTATCTAACACAATGTACAGCTACAATACAAATTCAATATTAATTTTAGATACGTATCCGTATAGTTTGAAATTCCGTACAAACTATTGACAATGCATAGTCCTACATGTATCGACTCATTTTTTTTATAATTAGATACAAAGAACCCGATAAAATTATTTCAGTTCAGCAAATGAACAATTTGTTGGACTCGTACACCACAAACAGGCGTGGTTCGCTGTTGTGAAAATAGTTAACAATTAATGGATAACTTCTCAGTTACGTCTTTTTTTTTCCCGCTGTTGTGAAATTGAAGGTACAACTAGCTGTCTACCCAAAAAATGTGTTCCCTCTACGAACATTTTTGGGTGTAAGCTGTACAAATTTTAAGGTGTTATTGACGTCACAATGTGTTGGAACATGCTGCATGTCTATTTTAATAGTTTAAATTATTTTTAATCTGTGTTAAACTGAACATATGAACATTAAACGGACACGCACAACGACCAGACATCATAAACAGTTTTAGAGCCCCTTCAGAGAGAAAATAGATTTACTGCCTGTCTTTGCAAGCTTCTTCATTTTTCAGTATTCAATTAAAAACTTTCAGCTGCGATTTTAGAGGTCTTCCAAAATTAAATACTGTCTATATCAGCATGAGAAGTTCCAATTTCTGTCGATATTAGACATTCATGGCATGTGACTGTAATTAGGCGAGCAAAATAACTATCTTCATCATGTTTGCTCGTTAGTTGGTATATTAAAGCAACTTACATGGAAATATGAGAGATTTGGGATTTTTTTTGTTATGTCGTGGTATAAAAAACATTATTTATAAGAAATTCAATATCTCTGTGACTGCACTGTGTTGATTTAACAAAAAATGTTTAGACATTTTCACCTTTGGCCTCAACTTTATTCCCCAGATGTTAAAAGTTGTGTTTGTTTAATTTCATATTTTAAGAGGGCTGTAAAGTTACTGCCAGAATTGAAAAGTAAATATTACTAAGTTTTATATTTCATTCAAAACTTACACAAATATTTTTATTGCTACTTTGTAAGTAAACATTTAAAATTAATATAAAACGCAATAAATATTAAACTGTTAAATCACTGTCTTAAATAAATAAATGATATGTTTAAATGAAAGCCGTTTTTCGAAGGATTTTAAAAAAGGTTGAATAATATTCCACATGGGGGTATAACCGAGTATGCGATCGTCTCACTTTTAAGTACTGGTAATTTTTCATACTAGTATTAATTTCGTAACAAAAACCAAAACTGATTAAAGTATTAACCCTATCTATAAATTTTTCTTTGGTTATTCATGTCGACGCTTGCATAATATTTCACTACAATAAAATTATAATTTTATGAATGGGTAATCTGAGTTTTTGTAGGCGCGGCGTAACTAGTTAGCACCAAATTAAGTACTTCCAACAACTAGACACAATACTAAATCCATAATCCATAGACCGCTGTACTTAATAAACTTGAAGTATGTTGTCATCACTAAAAATCAATGATCGTATCTTTTTGATGAAATTCCATGGGACGTTCCGAATAGACTAGAATTTGATCATCCGTAACGAGGAACTGCCCCCTAAAGTTTCGTACAATGGCGTCCATCAGTAACAATTTGTCAGGAATATAAGCCTCACAGTTGGAGACTCATTATACCTTAAAAAAAGTTTAATCCTCTATAATCATTTAAACAGTTTAGTAATTCGAAGGGAATGTAAAGAGAGATATAATAAATCTGAAATTTGTTGAATTTTTCATACGGAGAGCAGATCTTATTTCGATAGCATGTTGGAGTGGTTTGTGTGTTAATATACTTTCGTGGTGTTTGGGAGAATTTAATCTTTACTTTTCGATTTGTGAAAAATGTCATATTTTCCTCAAAACAGCTGTGAAAATATTCCAAATAAAGGTTTGTTGATGTAGATCGTATTTCGTTATTGATAGATTTGACTTGTGATATTTGAGATACAATATATATATTGTTAAAAAAATATTATATATATATGGAGGATGGTCATCTATATATAATACATTTCATTGTACTCGAAGGATATGAGAAAAATTATAAGAATTTGGGATGAATTTGAGGAATGGAACTTTGTGCGCAAATGGAATATGAATAAAAAAATCAGTGGAGTAATACGAAAAAGATTTGGACTGACTGGACGACTACAAACTGACCACACCATCTGTCCGTCACAAATCTTTCTTTACATTCAAAATCCTTTGGATAGTTCAGATTTAAAAATTCAGTGTTGTTTTGGAAATTGAATAAAACTGTGATTTTCAGAAGTAAATCTTTCAATTAAGGTTTCAACTCTTTCAAGAAAAGTTGACCTTTGATAGATTTGGCTATTATTTTTAGGTCCCTTTTGGTCATATAACTCTTCGAGTTTTTCGGTACCTTTCCAGCCTTGGGCTTTCAAATATTTGGCTTTTGCCGTTCTTGATGAAGGTAAATCAAAAAATTCACTTCAGACGAATGAAAATTTATAACGTGTTATTTTAATTGTTTTACATATATAGCATGTATAAAAAAAATGTCCGTACTATTTTTTAGTCTTCGTGTTGTTAAAAATCTCTCAAATATACTTTACGACACAATCGTTGAAACATCGTCACCTTTTTTGAATTATCTAAACTCAAGAAGTCCACCATTTATCTATATATTTCAAACTGGTCAGTTATGTTTTCTTACTGAGGGTCGTTTCCAAGCAAACTAAACCGAATCAAATAAATATTTTAGCGCATACATACAATTCTATTATATATTTATTCCCCCGAATTATTTACGTATACATTTTCGTTTGATTCCAGGAGGTTATTCATTCCCCCGAATTATTTACATATACATTTTCGTTTGATTCCAGGAGGTTTAACGTGTTCATCGGACGTCCAAGTGCAATGTGGTTCCTTGTTCCCTGGTCACCACCAGGACTGTCCAGTCGCAGATGCACGCGGTGGTTGGTTACAGTGTTTAGATTTAACAGAAACACTACCCGGTAGTGTGCCATGCCAGGAACGGGATTACGGCATCCATAGGGACAATGTGTGGGTACAAAATGGTTGCCAGGGAAACTTTTATACGTGCTATATTCCAGGTACGCCAATTTTTTTTTTTTTTTATTAAATTTAAATAAAAAAAATACAAATATATGTCCTTCAAAATAGCTGCTTTGCATGAAATGACAACATAAAAGATAAAAAAATGCACATAACAAATGTGGATTTTTGTATTATATTCCGTTCGGTATTTTCGTTCACATCAGAAACATGAAAAAGAGATAACAACAAAAAAATATTAAGCAAATTTTGGTATAAATTTGAGAAAAGCAACTTTGTGGACCAACTAAATATTAATGAAAAATCAGTGGAGGAATACAAGACTTGAGTTTTGGACTGAATGGACAACACTACACTGATCACAGATCCGTCCGTCATTACAATTCTGGCATAAAAATATTTTAGTCAATTTTTTTTTTCATTTCACAGCATCTGTATCTTTTCATATTATTATTTTTTTTTTCATTTTTCAGTCTCTCCGCCTGGACCTATTAACGAAAGGACATTAGAATGTAGTACTAAAGATAGATCATACACACAATGTAAAATTGATGGTGCTTATCTAGTGGATAAAGTTAATATGAAAATTCAGTTTCAAAAGAACAAAACGTGTACGGAAGGAATTAATTACGGAATAGTGGCCGATAGTATTTTTGTTAAAGATGGATGTAGTGGGATATTTAATGTAGAATTTTTCCCAGGTATGTAAAAAAACGGTTGAATTTAGTTAAAATATTATTAGCTATTGCAAGCACTCTGTGTTTCCCAACTGAAAGTCTAAGAACTGGAACAAACTATGAGAAAGAGAGAACAATGGCGGAAATAGTGAGGGGGCGTGGAGGGTGTACGCCCCCCCCCCCCCCATTTGATCGACTCCAAACAATAATTATATGTTTTTCATGATTTATTTGCATAAAATTGCCAAAAAAATCATATAATTCGTTTTATGGAAATACGACAACCTTTCAAATATCCTGGATAGGGTCAATTATCGTGGATTTTTTTTCACACCTGGGCCATTTTCTTATAAATTTTTCACTAAAATTCAATTTTCACAGCTTCACGTGTTTATTTTACGGATGTAACAATATTTTGACCTAATATTTATCCAAATGATAAATGTTTACAGATATAGTTCGAAACTGCAATTGTGAAAGATTTTGGTAAATGTGATTTTTTTTCAAACGGTGTATCAGAAAGACATTGTTAACCAAAACCAAAACATTTAGATGAAGGTGGGGCATTCTTACACATTGTAATTGGAGACGTTGGGAGTTCCCTCGATTTATTCATGTTTATTTTCGTACTAATTGTCCTATCAGGATAAAATAGCTGTACTGTACTAGTTTTTTTGTAAATAAAAGTTGTTCAGGCTATAAAAAAATCTGTTTTTTTTGTGCCGATGTGTTAATTATATACTTGTAGTAAAATAAGAACAGATTTAGGACTCAAATCATGCCTTTTCCTAATTGACCTTTATAATGTGCGCTCATGGCCGAATATTTAAAAAGTCGAAAGAAATGAGCAAACGAAAAAAAAAAATAAAACTTTTGAAACAACAAAATACCTGTAGGTCTACATGTTTTGTAAAATTTTATCAACAGTTGAAATAAAAGTTAAAGTAACTTTAGCTGTTAAACGTTAAAATAAAGTTTAATAAAGTGAATTTGGGATTGCGGAAATATGCAATCTTAAATGTAACTATCCTTAGTAGTAATGACACTCGCCTAATCTCGGTTATCCATGCAGTAATTCATCGTTTCATATATCTTCACACGACATGATCTGCATGTACATGCACGTGTTGATCAAATTAAAGAGTTAAAACTTCAGTGCATGTTTGCAACATAATTTTATAAAACGTGTTTATATTTTTATTTTAAAAAAACTGAATATAAATCTTATAAATAAGAATCTACAACGTCTGTGAATGGCATGATGCATATTTTTTCATGTAGCAATTTTTACATGCAGCAAATTGATAAAAAATAAATAGACATAATTTTATTACCAAAGGAAACCAGACAAATTTGTGACTAGTTATACTCTTGTGACTACAAATATCCTCTTTGGAACACCTGAAAAATTTATTAGTTTTTGTTTTTGGAGTAATTGGAAACAATCCAGTTTTTTCATTTAGATATTTCGTTAAATAATTGATGTTTTCCAGAAAAAAATATATGTACATAGAACGAAATTCGTATAATGTACTTAGAACGCTGAAACAGACTTGTTCTTTTCTGATTTGTCTGGAATAAGGGGCTAATTTGCACAGGTTTCTGACAGTTTCCGTCTTGTAATCTGACATACAAACATTTGAATGTAAACATTTATCCAACTTACATTACACAACTACTGCGTGAAACTGAAAACCACATGTCTAAACAGTTTTTTTATGCAAATGTGAGAGAACAGAATTAGAAAGATAAATAATCCTACCGGCTTGAATTACTAGTTTTATAAAAGCTTGGCTGTGTCAGTCTCCTTAATATATTTAAATGGGTTTTATTTATTACACTCGTCTAAAAAGAATGTTTTTAAAGTAAAGCTGTAAATTTTCAAGATTTGTATGTTATCGTTTATTTATCTTTCCATATATTTTTTAAGTGCATGATGTGAATGATGCACACCTCTTTAGAATAGAATATTTCTGCATAGAACGTGATAAAAATAATAAATATCAAAATTTTGTAATATTGCTAGACCGTTGAATAAAAGATTATTTTGTTTGTGCTTTGTTCAAACATAAGAACAGAATTTTAACAAATCGTGGTTGATTTGCTATATATTTGGAGTTTTGAGAGACAATTAAAAGTTGACAAAACTCTTTTATCTGATAAACATGATTAATTGATTATTGCGTGCTTAATATAAAAATAGGGAGATGTGGTATGATTGCCAATGAGACAACTATCCACCAAAGTTAAAATCAAGTGGATGTAAGCAATTACAGGCAACCGTACGACCTTCAATAATGAGCGACCTTCAATAATGAGAAAAACCCATACCGTATAGTCGGCTATAAAAGGCCCTGACATGTCCAGCGGTAATTGAACCATGTGTATTCAAGACGATAACAAATTAACAATCAATACAATATGTAGGTTCTGTATGAATGGGACGACTTGATGAAAGGTGGGAAATTTGGAATGCCACTTCTTTAGTTTGAAAAAAATCTTATCTTTCGTAAAAAAATTTAACATATACAATTTAATATTTCACTGTCTGTAAACACATGCATTTCACTGTCTGTAAACACATGCTTTAATGCATGTTTATCAGCACAAAAACAAAGATTATTTTATATTCACGGAGGCCAAATACCGATATCAATGATAAAAGTATCGCTATAATGAAAACACAATATCGGAGGAGATACGTTAGTGCCATTGTCTATGGGAAACGGTATGCTACTACTCGATTAGGGGAAATTTAGTGTATGTTAAATGAATATATCCTTGTTTTAGTCTGTATGAATTTATTTGATTTTCAAAAATTGAAAAAAATCGAGCAACAAACGCTCAATCAATCGAAAATAGAGATTGTAGATAAAAAGTTTGTACTTTGAGGTCAACTTGATGCAAAATTGTGTGAATTCTATAATTTATTTAGATTAAGCACGAATACATAAGCTGCATGCTAAAAATTGAAATATGAACTTTTATTTTCTCTTATCCAGATTCTGTCGCACCACCGCCTGTACAAAGACCATCAACAACGTCGACGACAAGTACAACACAAAAACCATCAACGACAACCACAACTTTACGAACGACAACTCCACACAAGTCTCCGTCAATCTCTTCTACAACGATCAAAAGTACAACTAATCATACATCCATAATAAATCCACCAACATCGTCTGACTCAAGCGGAAGTATCATTGTTCTGACAGCAGCCGCAGTATTAGGAGTCTTTCTTGTCATTTTAATTGCTACTCTTGCCATTTTGTGGTTTAGCAGACGATATCGTTGCACGTGAGTATTTAAATTTAGACTATGTTGTAATGAATTTTCATTATCATAAAAAGGTATAGGCATGACAAACACTGGCAAATTGTCTTATGATACAAGTATACCCATTGCTTTCCCTACCAGACGGTTATATAATGCATCTCTGAATAGAAGGGGGCTCTTTATTTGTCTTCATGAAATATAAACTAACAATTTTGAAGAACAACAAATATATCAATGTAGTGAAAACAAACCCTTACTAAAAGTAATTTAAACAAAATTCAGAGGACAAGCTGTTAGTGTTGTCGCCTGTCTACCACGCAATTGCCAAAGAGTTAGGATATGGCCTGTAAGATGTAGAGAGATTATCATCCTATATGTTTACAATTTTCAGTACATGACTTCGAGTAGTGTATAACCATCTTTTTATATGATTGATTGGGGCTTTACACATTTAGGGCAAGAACATGTTTGTGTGATCAGGGCGAGAACATATTTGTGTGACCAGGGCTAAAACATGATTGTGTGATTAGGGCGAGTACATGTTTGTGTTATATAGGCATACGATGGAAGCTTTATACTGTAGATCTCGAGTCATGCCAAAACGAGGATTGTAAACATGATTGCATGTAAATACATTTTAAATCAGTATTTAGGGAACGACCATTTAACTTCAAAAAAGGTGGGGGTGTTATGGTTATTTCCTAAAAAAATATTCTGATCCCCAATTTGATGGAAAAAACATTGTGGTCAAGCAGGTGACACAAAAAAATATTCTGAATCCAGATTTTCCCCATACCTTAAAATGTTAAATTTTGAAAAAAATAATTTGATTGATAGCGTCGAAAAACTAAAAAAAAAAGCGAGAAATTTTTTTTCTGACTCCGACAAGAAACCATAACCCCCCTTGAAGTTAAATGGTTGCTCCCTTAAGATTCAATTTATTGTCCTCAGAGTAGATTTTTTATCATATTAAGGGTCATTTGGTGGAGAGTGTATAAAGAAAGAACCGAAATTAACGAAATAAAAAGTCTTTAAATGGTGTAATAGGCGGTGGAATATTTTTAACGGCGTTTCTACGGGAAAAATAAAGGAAACACTTACTTATTGCATGTTCGATCAGTATCATAGAAGAGTTTGGAAGAAGGATCCACATGACAATTGCTTTTGGAGATTTTATTAAATTGGTATCCAAGCAAACCCTTATCTATATCATAATCATAAACTCGATTAAAACGCAAGTGATTATACAGCTGATCATTTTGTGTAGGTAAATTGTCAATGTTACTTGTGCATTCAACTTTTTCTATTCAAGGTGCACTCGATCGGACGGCTTATTACCCTGTACTTTTAAGCTTTTTCATCCTTATATATAATTGACTATCATAAAATTATACGAATGTACAAATAAATAGGATATGACGTTAATCGCCATCAAACAACCAAAATAAAGTCATTACGATATAATTGCCAAGTTTTCATAGATGCTTTTCTTATCGTACTTTTTGGTTTATGGGTGATGTGTCATAAAGAAAGGATCTTTTCATAATGAGACATCATCGTTCAGATTGTAGCTAGTTAAACACATCTTAAACGGGAATTACAATAATGTTTTAAAACCACAAAATATACATTATATAATAAAAGTTTAACATCAAAAAGACATTTTATTATAATCAAGTTAATAAAACGTCTTTATCCATAATAAATACATAATTAGTGTTTTATATTCTTTCTAAAGGGTGTATTTGGTCTAAGTCTTCCTTTATATGTATTGCCCGAAACCGTTATTGCTTTTCTGATATCAGATTTAAAAAAGAGATTTTTTTTCAATTTTCAATTTTAAGTGCATTTATCTACATGTATTGTTTATGTGTTTTTTGTAACAAAGAATTATGCTATGTATACACAGAATAAATAAACACATTTATTTTGTATGAAGAATATATGCATACATACAAAACAAATTTCATGCCGCTGGTTTTCACTTTTGAATTATTTCACATTTTAATTCGATTTGGCCTGCATAATACGGTTTGAGTTTTGATACGATTGTTGTAAGCCGTACGATTGACCTGTTATTGTTCAAAACTCTATTCATTGGTCTATGGATAGTTGTCTCATTGGCATTCATACCACATCTCCGTATTTTTTTTATAACAATCAGGTATGTGCATTTTTGCAAGACAGAAGCGATCAGAAGCTACTGAGCATGCTGAATTTGAAATGCATTTTTGATATTTTAATTGATTTCATTTGCATTTAGAAAACATTAAGAAACATAAATAACCTTTCTAATTGAATCTGAATTGAACCAAGGTATAATTTACATGTATTCACAATATCGACAAACGCCACAATGACAAAAACACTTTAAGTAAATCATTTAATGATGGAAATTAAAAAGAACTATTTTCTCCGATATTTTTATCAATATAAACGGTTAATGTCACTTTAACACGAAAATTATTTTCGACTTGACATGCTTATTCTAAAACTAAGGAGAAAAGCACACTTCTTTTTATCAATGCTTGCTGCTACTATGTTGACTAGATATGAATTTGGACCCTGAAAATCGTTAGTGCTCCTAGAATTACGGCCTTGATTGAATAGGTATAATACTTATAAGCATAAGGGAAGGTTGTTGGCAGTTTTTATCTGCCTGTGTGATCTTTGAGATAACAAGCAGTCGATTTTTTTTTCAAATTGTATTTAAAAAAAAAACGATGATTTAACACCAAACAGCGATACATGCTTCAATTAAATCAGCAGCTTAAAAAATGCTTTTGTCATTTAAGCAATTATGACCAATGCTTAAATTACAAGAATTAAATCAGCAGCTTTAACCTGGTTTTGTCATTCAAGCAATTATGACCATTAGTCATGCGTTAAAGGGACAACATATCTGTACATAGTTGGCCTGTATTTCCTTGAAAAGGGGGGCATTTTTTTTGGGGGGGGGGGGGGGGGGCGTCAATGGACTTGACAAGACGTATAAATATGATGAGTAAGACTGTACTACAATTTAAAAAAAACATAGCTTTGCTAAATGTTAGATTGTTTTTTGCTTTGCCGATTTGATTGACAAGTAAACATCAATCCGATATACCCTTAGTTTCTACCCCGCTCACCAAGCCATGTTTCATGTTTCTTAAAGTAAACGTAAAATCTGGTTTCGTACTAAACATAGACTACGCATTCGAAAATGATAGATTTACACGCAATTTTAAGGCAATAAAACACGAGATGCTATATACAACCACAGACAAGTGGATAATTATTAGTCACATAGGAGAGAAAAATAATATTGAAGCAGTATATATTTGAAATACAGAAAATAATAGGCTACTTGACTTACATATCTTAGCTTTATAAATGTAATACAATTTGACAAACGACCTAAAGCCATTACACTGCATTAATGAGAACTCTGTAATGTGAAAGTATAACCGAACGTCAGCTATAAAACAAACTCGATATAATCAACAGTTAAGTACATTTTACTTAAGCTTAACGCGTCCGTGCCTCTCCCTGGTATAATGGTTGGTTTTTAGTTTTCGCTTTACGCTTCAGAGTATCGGAGAGTTACGATTTGTTCGCAGGCAACTGAATGCAATGAAAACATCAATTTTATTATTTTATTTTTCAATTAGTAACATTTTATTATGGTTAATGATAGGAACGTTGGTTAATGTGCTTGACAATTATGAATATTAAATTAAAATATGATTGACACTTTACACTTCAAAAGAGGATATTTGCATACGGTTTAAATGCTGAAACATTAGAGGATGTTAATTAAAATTCTGGTTTATTTACATGTTGTTGACAATGGCAGACGACTTTCTCAGCTTGAAGCGTCTGTAGTGCACTCAAAATGTGACACTGATCGTTTGCATGAAAAAGTGGTATTAAAATTGTACTTAAAAGAACACACGCATATACTGAATATGCATTAATTGTGATGAAAAATATATAATTACAATGTAATAGATATATCATTCTAAAGATATTACTACATTCCTTTCTAATGATTGTCCCTAGTCAAGGACACGAAAATATCAATTAAAAAGGAGGCATATTATTATGGGAAACAATGTTTCAAACAATGTACATTAGCAAACAAATTTTCGTCTTGGTCCAAATTAACCGCGCAAGTAGGACATATCGATTACAGGGAGGCACTGAATCATTCGGATTAGGCCCAGAACATAATAACACCGACGAATATGTATGACGTTTGATATACCTACCCAATAGGGACCTACAATATAAGACATTTTGAAATTGGCAGATCACCCTGAAATTGATTTCATACCGTTGGTGATATGATCCCACAAACTCTCTGACAAATGCGACATATGGTTTCATTTGAGGCTTGTATTTAGTGCGATCGAATTCCATTAGGAACTTTACAATTATATATATACACACAAACTCACTAACAAATCTGGTATCGGGGGTGGCTAGACTGAGGTTTGGATAAAGAGGTATTAAATTCCATTCGGAAGTTTCTTTGCATAATACATGACTTATTAATGAAAATATCTGTTATCGTTTGTTTTCAATGTAGTGAGTATGGACACACGCTTACCTAAACAAAAAAACACTGAACAGTATTTTTTTCTCAAGAAAGTGCAATTCTTCGCTTCCCATAATAGCTAGTATCTACTCTCGTGTTCTTATTGTCGAGACCACAATTTAATCCTCAACTCTGTTTATTTCAGGAAACGATATTTAGAGAGAAAATCCGATGGCACAGGAAGTATCGAGGGTCCTTCGGTAGGTAAACTACTACCGCTCAAGTTTAACAAGGTATTCACGTGTTTCTCGGAGCTTCTCTAGACTAACTCTAGTTGGTTACTTTTGGTTTTGGGCTTTATTTTGCATTTATTTGTGTAGTTAGTTTGTTTAGTTGTTCGTCTTTTATATTTTATTGGATATTTCCATGCATTAGGTGTAGTTATAGAATCAGACATCCATTTATATTTTGTTGTATTTAATATATGAAAAGTATCGTTAAGGATTTTAGTTTTCCTTTTAGTTATTGCGTTTTTTGTACCGTTGAATGAAATCATCTCATTGGCTCTACAAATGAAAGTTTTATTTTCATTGGACAAGAAAGGATAAGGGGTGGATGTTTATTGGACAGATTCACACAAACTAATAGGAAAAACCCAATGTATTAGAGAAGGTGTATTTTATTGCTGTTCTTCAACTAAATAATATTTAAAGAAATTTATTCTGTTTTGTACCAACTTGGAATCTTCATTCAAGTCAAACACATAAAGAAGATTTTACTGATATAAGTTCAAGTACACATTTAAAGTTTTGTATTGCATGTAGTATTTAAAATTGCATGTTACACATTTACCTTGTTTCTTTGATCTTGTATTAATCATAATTATGTAGTTATTAGTGGAGGATATAATAAACGTTTTTATTCTGTATTCACAAATGAAATACTTTGCTTCCTTGTTTTATGCCATGTCATTTTATTTCTGTTTTGTTATGTTTACAATAGGTTTAAAAATATTGTTTAAAATGTGTTGTTTGATTACCTATAGTATATTGTTTTTGCTTTTCATTCTGATCAGACTGAATGAATATCTCCTGTCCGAAATTAATTCACAGTACTCGTTTTCTATTAAGCATGTTAAATTTAACTGTTAGGACAGACCAGGTTGCAAAGAGTACAGTCTAGTAATTAAATATGATTTTTCAACGGAATTTTTAAACAAGGTCTAGTAACAACGTTTAAATTCTTCATTTCATTATATTTTTGTTGCATGAAAGTTTATTGTTTTGACCCTTTCACGTTTTAGAATTTGATTCTATTCTTCTATTCTGACACACGTTGATTATATCAAATAACATTTGGATATTATCTTACAACCCAATTCATTGTAATATCAATGAACAAGCTAATTTCCCCACAGATAATGAAATCCTCTCATGGATCTTCGATTATTAAAGTACTGCAATTGCAGTCAATGGAGAATACATAATGACCATAATTTAATAAATTAATTGTATTTACCATAAAGCATTTTATATCCCAACGATATTTCAAATTGCAATAGATTATTTGAATATAGACCTTATCTCCAATATAAATGTGTGTTTGCTTTTAGTTGCTAAGTTTTGTCTTGAAAATATGTGCTGTATTATCATGCAGATAAAACATTAACGGAAGCCATACTCGTAAATTTTAAACTTTCGCTTAAGGATTACCAATTTTTTTTTTTATAAAAATGGAATACCAAAGTTCAAAAGTATCGTGTGCAAACATCATTTGTCATTTTACAATCAGTTTGAAAATACGATTGAAAGTTCAGCATCTGATTGAAGAAAATACAAAAACATTCGACACAAACCTCTAGTAATCCCTCTGAGTCACGCGAATCATTGCTTTTTAAAGTCAATGGGACGAAAATCTTGTAATTTATTTTGGACGGTAGAAACACGGTTTAATTAGGGAAACATGACAACAATTATACTCTGAATGTGAGCAATGGTTTATTGATTTTTGTTAATACAGTATCTGAACTTCTGAAGTATACTCACCAATTTCAGTTCCAGGAATAACTACGACGTACTTCAAATTTTCGCCAGTTGGCTTAATGTCTGCCCAAAAAAAACTTTTAGTCTGTGATGTCAAATATTTTCTGTTGTGGTGCTTTAAAAATTACGGGAACATTTTTTTAATGTCCTCGGTTTAGTAGAAAGCAAAAATGAGGGCCAACATGACTGAACCGTCTTGAAATAGGTAAACACAAAAATTCGTATTTCTTAAAATATTCTATAATTGTCTCCAAAAGCTTATTTTAGTGTTTTTTTATTTTCTAGGGAAACATTTATGAAGAGATCTCAACTCACGAAGAGGTACCAAGTGCGCCTCCAGTTTATGAACGACAGCCATTCATTGGACATGAATTTACTGGACATGAGTGTTCACTCGAGCCGAACAACAATCCGAAAAATCCGCTAGGTGAAAACTATTTTATACTTGATCCGAACTATAGAGACTGCCGTACATTACCGTTACAATCTAGGAATATGAATCATCCTGTGAACTTTGAACCGGATTTATTTCATTCAATTCCATCAGACGATCGTCCTTGTCAAATCCATCATCCGGTGGCGCGAATGGGATCGTTTGGTAACCATAGTGGCCATGGACACGAGCCTGTGATACGAATGGGTACATTTAATCCCAAGATTCATCAGTACCCTCTAACACTGGGTCCCTGTATGGACCCACATATGATGCATAATAAACAGAATACACTTCCAGTATTAAATGGGAAATCCATGAGAATTTCCGATAGTGATGTAGATGAAGATGGATACCAGAAAATCGGAACATTTGGTCCACAACAGAAACATTTCCAGAATATACCAACAAGCTTTCAAAATGCTCCTCCTCATTTCACAAACGTTCCACCAAGTTTTGCCAATGTTTCACATTTCCAGCCTGTATTATCAGAACAATGTCAGAATACTGACTCTAATCCTTTAATTTTTGATACATCGTCCTGTTGATTTTATGAAATTGTTGTTGCTGATATTTATTTATATGAATGACTTTTAAAAGGAAAATGAGCTCTTTTATTTTGTTTGCCTAAAACAATATAGTATCACAGTACACGCTCGTAACTTGACAGTATGTTAATAAGAATATATTTTTAAGCCCTGCTTTCTAAAATGGAAACAGCATGTTTTCTGGTTTGTGCGTCCGTTCGTTAGTCAGTTCGCCTGTCCTTTTTAATATCAATATAAAGTTTTTTGTCAAGGTTGTTTACTATGAGGTTATGGTCACATCAACTGAACACTTACGTAACGTATTACGCATTATCATGTACACTTTAAAAATTATATGCCAAACTAAGGATTTGACCCCAATTTCAAAGTTATCTGAACAAAGAATTGTTTTATTAGAGTAAAATTTAAAATGCGTTTAATCGTGTAAAGAACTAAAACATCCTCGTACATATATCAAGGTAAATTCACGCAGATGATACTTTGGTGCTGACATTACATGTATACATGTACATATAAGAAGACAAGTCCATGCGACAACTTATAACTTCAGACAAGCGGTTGAAAGGACAACAAAGTAAGCAAGTAAGATAGTCTTCAGCAATGAGCAAAAGTTCGATACCGTTAGCTAGCTATAAAAAAACTTGGATGTACTGTCATAATATTGTTATTCCCTGTTTAATTCAGAAGATATTATTACATAATTAAAAAAAAAGAAATAATCGGAATACAATGACAGCAACTGGTAACGACGCCTGGTCATGGACGAGCGCATATTAGTGCTGTTACCAGAATGCCTACTCCAGGATTGTATAAAAGTTAGACCGGTATGAGCTTATGCTTCAATACACTGCTTTTCTGCCTCCTTTTGGTAATCATAGTCTGAATGTTTTTCTTTGTTTGGGTCGAAAAAATCCTCGTCGAGGAGAACATTTCTATGCCGCACCTAGGGGCATTATGTTTTTCGGTCTGTGCGTCCGTTCGTCCGTCCGTCCGTCAGTTCGTCCGTCTGTCCCGCTTCAGGTTAAAGTTTTTGGTGAAGGTAGTTTTTGATGAAGTTGAAGTCCAATCAACTTGAAACTTGGTACACATGTTCCCTATGATATGATCTTTCTAATTGTAATGCAAAATTAGAGTTTTTACCCCAATTTCATGGTCCACAGAACATAGAAAATGATAGTGCGAGTGGGGCATCCGTGTACTATGGACACATTCTTGTTTTTTTACTTCATGTATGCACGCTTGTCGCGATTAATTGATCCATTCATAGCACGATTATTTATGTTTAAATAGAAAAATGTATAAAATTTACCTCTGCAATTCATAATAATTAAGTATACATAGTTAGGTAAATGTGAGGAATTTTCATATTTAGAATTTTCAATTATTTGCCATTGAAAATCATTACGAAAGGAATTTATTATTATAGATTATGTTAATGTACTTTTATAAGAAGTTAGTTTCTGATGAAGTTGTGATGTCAATCATCGGTGAATGAAATCGACATGATATATTGTGAATCACTGTGACTATGAATATTCATGTTGGAAATTAATATTGTCACAGGTTGTTACTTTGTACCGCGTGACCTGTGCATAGAGAAACGCCATGACTTATTTGTGATGAATTGCACACAGGGACGGAAAAGATCGTTGAGATATTGTCATACGACTTTAAGAAAAATGTACAGTCCTCACGTGAATGAAAAATCCCACACCTGTGAATTGCAAAATATTTATAATTGTTTTTACAAGTATCTCTAAAATAACGCTTGTGTTTATATGTATAGGTCGAAAACAATATTGTAGTCACTTAAAACTAAAAAAATGATGCTCATTGACACCAGGTTAAGTTTTATACAGTATTTAAGTGACCATCGAATATGATTTTTCACGCGGATATTTACTTGAAAACACATTAGTCGAAAAAGAGCTTGACTGGCCCTTTTGTATAGTCTCTCATTTTAGATACCAAGGATAAGATATACTAAGAACTTAAATGTGTATGTTGTTAATCATACTAAAACATAATGAATTTGTTACTTTCGTAGCCAATTTCTCAGATAAAACACTCGAATCCAGATAAAAGCAATGTACTATTTTAAAACCAAGTTGAAGGTCCCGATTTTCCTTAAGGACTTGACATCACTTTGAAATTGAGTTTGTCGATACATATCAATACATTAATTCCACATAACCCTCATTACTATATAATGTTCTTTTACTAAATATTGCATTCTTTACGTAGAAAGAGGACAGGCTATAATGTATGTGTTGAGGCCACTCCTTAATGTTGCACCCTTAGCATAGAAACAAGACTGGCTATGTTATAAATTGAGGACTTGAATGAACTCGAGAACTGGAAGGGAAATACTTAAGTATTGCACTATAACAGTTTATGCATAGCTGTTGGTTAATAGAATTTTTTACCCGTATCTAATATTTCGTGCATATTGAGGACGATAACAAATAGACAATGACTTCATTAGAGGGGTTTTGTAAATTTAAACCGGTGTCCTATAGACAGTTCCCCCATGCCAATTTTCCAGGGGGAGGAAAACTGGATCAATCCAGCCCCACCCCCCAAAAAATGGCATGATCCCACTTGTTTTCCCTGAGCGTGATGAGATCGTGTCAATTTCCCACCAGGGAGGAAAATGGCTATATATAGGCAGGAATTTCTATTGCCACTGGAAAATGTGTGTATGATAGATAGGACAGGGATTTGGCCTTGCAACAGGTCTATTGACTCGAGCTTGACAATCCCCTGCACGATGCATATGATTTAATGTGCCCTTTCCAGCAGGATTTGGCTGTATTTATACATCTGCATAGCCAAATGGACATCGCCCTTTACCAAGATTTTTACTGTCGGATGAGTAAAGTCCAGGGATAGCCATATTTCTACACCCTAGTCGATCCTTGTCTTGGAGAGTATGGCTTTTTTGCAAAAGAAATTTCGAATATTTATAGTAGTTAACCTTAAAATCATGATACAAAATATCGAACATCAATATAAAAAAAAATATTTATCAATAATCTCAGGGGTCTTTTGATACATTGTAAATATGACATCTGGACCTCCAAGGACGGGTGAAGGATTGCATGAATACTCCCAAGAACTGATGCGGAGTTTCAATCTGTTAATGAAAACGATAACCGTCGTTCCTATATATTTAAGTCGGATTTGAACTAAATTGAAATCCACAGTAGGTCGTTCTGCTAGTAGTCCGTGACTTTTTTCTTCTGGTGATCTCATGTTATGTTCTTGATGACATTTTATAATTTTCCATATTCGATTTATATTCTTTAGTTTGTACTCGAACACACTGACAACAGATTGAAAATACGCTTGTACATTTTTTTCTAAAGAAATGTCCACGAGTACATTTTAAAAAATATCTATTAGTATGCTAATATATAAGGAAACTTATTTTTACGATGACAAATAAAGATACTGATACACATCAACTATTGATATGATAATCCTGGTATCATTTGAAAAAAAACGCTGATTAATTTCGTTATATTTTTTCCTTTAGGTTCTTAAGATGGTATAACCATAAACATGACTTACAAGTTGACATTTACTTGTACAATGGCTTTAACAAAACAACGGGGTAAAATAAACCTTTCAAATGCTGTTCGAGCGTACCCATACTGGTTGATAACTCATTCTGGCCTGACGTCAGGTGGTTGGGCTGATATGGGGTTATCAGCCTGGCTGTGTTCGTACATCGGAAAGATTAACACACACCCTTTTCCATATCGGGCCGATTTTCAATCATCGATCCTTAACAAACCCTCGGCTACCGCCTCGGAATGATAAACTGATCATTTTTTTATTTTTGATGGATTTTTAAAAATGTATTTAGATGATTATGCCATGACATGACAAATTATGTATCTGTCCTCGTATTAATCTGTTGTGAGTTAGAATCCCGCATGTTGCAGGTGCGCTCGACTCCAATCTTAACTGACTTTGGCTGTGTTTGGATATACGCCAGAGGTGGCCTATGGTTATCCATAGGTACCTTTGGTTTGATATTCTATGTATCAAAATATCAAACCATGGGTACCCAAAGATACCTATGGGTAACCATAGGCTGCCTTAGGCGTATATCCAAACACAGCCTATGTGATTATTAAAACTGACATTCTTGTAGCTCACACTATGCCCAACTTGATGATAGGCAATTTTTTAATAGAGACGTGATGTCAAATAAATAAAACGGCTTCAAATACCATTTAACACATATTCCTGTCTCAGTGATTTATAAACATTTAATAAAGATCTATAGTCAAAATAAAGCTTTAGGCTGTACTATTTCAGATTTCGGACATTTTTTTTCGTTCATTAAAAGTACTTATGTTAGTTTATATATTTTTTTTTGTCATGACTTTTATCTAAGACTTTATCAATAATTACTTTTCTAGCTTAAATTTCTAAAAAAAAAACCGATAAAAAACTGTATTTAACGGTGATCTTTTTTACCTGAATTTTGTACATTTTAAAAAGAAAAAAAGTGAATTGGTAAAGAAAGGTCGAACTAGCATTCACAGACAGTAACTAGGTTCCACTCTTTGGACTTTAATTATAAAGTGTTATTGAAGATTTGTGTTAATATTTTTAATGAAGCGTTGACCACACACACTTGTCCTGCTTTTTCTACTATCAAACATCAACCTCTTCTGTAAATGGATACATGTTTGATAAAACAAGATTCGAGGCAAGTATCTGTCAGCCTGCTACGATAGCCTAATGCAGTTCTTCGTTACGGTAAATAATATGAAACAAAAACGGTAAATATGATACACAAACGGATGTAACAAGGTTATTTCGACCCCTAATATTACAATTTTCGGCCGGGTGCCGTTGCCCCCTGGTTCCCCCATTACCATGATAACCTGGGTGCCTCAGTCGGCGGCACCCACACACCTGCCTCGTCTGATTCTGGGGCTTAGTTACGGCCCTGTATTAATGCTATAGCACTCGTCATAGGCGGATCCAGGCCCCCCCCCCCCCCCCCCCCTTTTCGTGGGAAAAATTTGATTATATAG